ATTTCCCAGTATGGGATCTTACCATTACGCTGTTTGTTTTTTTTCTGCCTATTTGCTTTTGTTTGATTTCATACTGGCAAGTGAAATACTCAAGAGTTTTATCACAGCAGGCAGCATCTTCTCACACACAATAACAGTTTTCTCTGTTTTTGTATACACAGGTGTGTGCTGTGACAGAAGCAAAACCACACATTGCCGAAATGCCGAAATTGCAGTCTACACACCCAGTGTTGCATCACTAGAGGTACTATTACAGATGTCCCACCAGTCCTGTGCTTCCTACAACATCAAATTGAACTAATTCATCTCTTATGGAGTCTACCGAAAGACTGAAGGTAATGGGTAATAATTCAACGTTACGTATTGGCAAAACTTCTTGTTTCAGTTTCAGCATGTACGGATCTTCTTATAAATCTTTCTGTCAATTACCTTTGTTTTAAATCCATTATTTTGAAGACTAATAAAGACTCAGTGGAGGAGTAATCAGTAGAGCAGGGTGATGACACAACAGTCCCATAGTATGGCTCCACACTGATATGATCAGCATTTTGGTTTCCAACTGGGCCACATGTTGGCTTTTTAACTTATACTCAACAGATACACAACTGGGTTGCCTGATATAAAGAGACGTAATCCCCGAAACAGATCTTCCCACTTGCGCAATACGGAAATATCTGCTAAGTGTGCTACTGATCTTTGTCAACCTGGCAACCAATATATATATATATGTATATCAGTTTTCTGTAATATATGCAATATATGCAGACATGACCATACAATATATTAGTGCTCTGTTCGATACATCGATACGACGATGCATTGTCACAGATTCGACATTATTAACTGTCTTGATATTTACTTTGAAAGCTGACGCTCGCGATTATGGTAAGGGGCGTTACATTTCCGAGTTTGAGAGAGGCGGGGCATAGAGGACCTACAATAATGTACAGTATTTGAAAAATAATGTGTTTTTTGAACATTAAAGTATGTCAACATATTCTGTTACACCAAATACACAAAATAATGATCTTTAAAATAGCATCATATGACCCCTTTAAATACAGTGAAGACAGCGCATTAGTTTACTTTAGAAGAGTCTAATTTTTTTTTTTTAAACATAGAGAGTGTCAGTTTGTGCAATGATATTGTGATAATTGTGCAATTATCTGCATTTATCTGAATGGAAAACTTTTTGTAACATTTTCTCTTTACTGGATTTTTTTTTTTATCAAATCAATGTGTACTTGTTGAATAAAAGTGTTAATTTCATTTATATATAACTATATATAACTTTTGAAAAGTTGTGTATGCACATCCATTTTAACATGTTGTATAAATCAACATTTAGCTAATGAATTAAGAACAAACATGAATTAAAAATTAACAAAATAAGTCTCTTAATTCTGTAAAAAAAAAAAGTTTGGTGTTAGTTCATCATACCTAATGCAGTAACTAATGTTAATGACTTGAACCTTATTTTGAATTTTTATGACCAAAATGCATGTCAAATGCAAAGCATGCATATTTTGAGTGGACAATTCAAACCAGTTACTAACTGTAATTGTAAATGAAAAATTAAATGACATTATATGAAACTATTATATAATTATCATTAAATAATGGGTGATTTAGAAGCAAATGTACATACTGAACAAACAAACAAACATGAATCAGGTTTGGCTCGGGTTGTTGTCTTCTCAATAGCTTAATTGTTCCAGATGAAGAGAGTGGAAAGCAGCAGATGGTGGGTCTGAGAGGGGTTGGGCAGGACTAAGACTCTCCCTCAGACAGCCATAATCCCCCCAAAAAGCCCTGGATGCTGCCCACTAACATACAAACCCTCAAACAGTCTGAGCTGGGCTGCTGTCATACAGCCAGACCAGGACAGCGGTGTGTGACCACGTATTTTACCGTCATAATAGAACAGAAGGCAAAGGGTAATTGTGCAGCTTTACAATATTTATTACTGAACTGTAAAGCCACCTGTGCTGACCCCACCGGTTAAATTTCACGGAATTCAGCAAGCATGTTTAAGTTTATTGTGTCCCAAAGGGTGCATTAAAGTCATTCACAACTGACCTAAAATTTTGGCTGGAACTCAAGTTTAATCCTGTTTTCCATGCAAAGCACAACTTCAGCTTTTTGTAATTGCCTACTTACTCCCGGCTCTGCGATTTGTCTTCGAATTCAGCAAACGTACATTGCAAGCGGAAGCCTCTGTAGCATTGATGAGCATGTGTCTGTAAACACAGTCTGAAATGTGATGCAACTGAAGCAGAACGTTACTCATGACCTTCAGATTTTGTGGTTAGGTAGTTACTTAGTCATTTAGAATGAATTTGCATTAATTCCAATAAGCAAAAGAGGATAGTTTAAAGGCGACAGTTGATTTGCATCAGCCAAACTGCTGTGATCAGATGTCATGAACTCAGTATGACATGCTGGTACTGAAAATGCTACTGAAATATTTACATGAACATGTCAGAGTCTATTTTTAATCTGAATTGTTGGTTTAGGTCAGATAGTCTGAAATGTTTCGAGAAATTTGCTGACAAATTGTTTCACCCACAGGCCATCCAAGATGTAGATACGTTTGTTTCTTTTTGAGAAATTTAGCATTACATCACTTGCTCACAAATGGATCCTCTGCAGTGAATGGGTGCCGTCAGAATGAGAGTTCAAACAGCTAATAAAAATGTTACAGTAATCTACAAGTTACTGTCTTGTGAAGTGAATAGCTGCATGTTAATAGCTGCAATAGCTACAATAGCTGCAGCAAATCCATCATTAAGATGTTTTTAACTTCATATTGCTTGATAAAATATAAATATAACTCTAACCAAGATATTGCTTTCTCCAATGAAAAAAATTATTTGACTCAGGAGAGAAATATACATGGATCAAGCACCATTTACAAGCAAAAACAGTCCAAAACAGTTCTACACAAATATTTAGATGTTTATGTGAGGACAACAGGAGATGGACTTTTTCACTGGAGGATGCGTTATTATGGATTATGGACTCATATTGTGGCCAGAAGTAACAGTTTAAATTTAAAATGCCTTGAATTTGTTTATTAGAAGCATGCAGCAGTGCACTTCACAAGGTGTGAATTGATGGACTAGAGTCGTGTGGATTATTGTCGATTATTTTGATGCTTTTATCAGCTGTTTGAACTCTCATTCTGACGGCACCCATTCACTATAGAGGATCCATTGGCGAGCAAGTGATGTAATGCTACATTTCTTCAAACCTGTTCCGACAAAAAAACAAACTCATTTACATATTGGATGGCCTGAAGGTGAGTAAATTTTCAGGCAAATTTTAATTTTTGGGTGAACTATTCCTTTAATGTATTTTGAACAATTTCATGTGCATGCAGTAGATTTGTTTTTTTTTTTATAAGGCATTTAACCTTCCAAAATTGTCTGTTTTTGAACAGACGGAAGGTCTTTCTGCTATACTGGTGCTCACTTACTATAGCTTTATGAATATGTAAACCTCTCACTTACTCAGCACATTTATTATGCATACTGCCAATCTCTGGCAAGGTGGAAGTGTGCGTATCAGCAAAAAAAAAAAGAAAAGAAAAAGAAACAAGCTGTTGTTACACCAATAAGGCTGTGTAAGCCTTTTCAGATAGTGTATTCACCATTCAATGCTTTTTTAAAATCTTTTCAGAGAAATCACATTTAATAATATGTGGACTAATATAATCAAATTGGAATACTGCTTTTATCATTGTCGAGAGCTGGTCAGGATTTGTGTGGCATAGTTATGAATATTTCTGTCCCTGTGGTCCTGACAGCCTTCTGATGTATAACTGACACAGCATGGCACAGCATGGTGAACATACGCCCGAAAGAACAATGATGCCCACAACCCTGAGTTCACTGGGGTCAGAGAGTCAGAGAGCCTGTATTGAAAAAAATGTATAAGAATAGTTCTTCCAGAAATGAAAATTGTTGTTATTTACTCATTCCCATGTCCCAAAAGTAATGTTTTTGCAAAATCTTCACTAAAGGTCTATACAATGGCAGTTACTTGTATTCAAGCACTAAAAGAAACTTGAGCAACACAGCAATCTTTTAGTAAACTTTGATTGATTATTTTGTAAAATGCCTGTTCTGATAAACTCAGTAATTATTTTAATTGTGATAAATATTGACTATACTGATATTAATTTATTCAATTTTAAGTCATACATAGGCCTACAATACACTGTACAGTACATTAGCATTAAATCGGCCACCCAGCTCTAAAAATATTAATGTATTTAATCTTTATTACCAAAGTGTAAAAAAGTTGTGCACATCCCACAAACCCACACAGGGCTCAGGTGCAGGACAAAAAAAGTCAAACTATAGCAAAAATACAAACGTATTGTCCGCACACTGATAGAACTGCTCCATAAGAATAATTTATTGCAACGTTTCGACCATCAGGTCTTCGTCAGGCTGACGATGGTCGAAACGTTGCAATAAATTATTCTTATGGAGCAGTTATATCAGTGTGCGGACAATACGTATATATTTATTGACCATTTAAAACAAAAGAAAAAAAGAAGAGAAAAAAAACAACTTTCGATTACTAATTATGAGCGAATAACGTTTTTGTTTTGTTTTTTAGTAGCCTACTTTTAAATTACAAGAAATCATATTATAATCATATAATTTCGATTACATTAAAAAAAATCTATATTCAAGACTGGCTTTGTAATATATGCTTTACACAAAAAAACAAACAAACAAACAAACAAACAAACAGAAACAAATACACAATTCCAAACAGTCGTGAACACCCAACGAGCACACATCATTGAGCACGCGCTCCATCCTCCAGCTGAGCATCACTATTTAACAAAGATGCGCAGCAGCATCTTCGCCCCGCCCATCCCAGGCTGCGCTCTTTCTCTCCGCGTTTACAGCGCAGGCGCAGTACAGAGCCACCGCGCGGCTCACTATTTAGCAAGAAGGGAGAGCGCATACTCAGCACCTGTCGTGTGTGTGGCTGGGGATTCGGTGGGTGGGGTCATTATTTGGCAGGGAGCGGCAGAGAGACGAGCATTTCCTAGATACCCACAGCAACGCGTGGATTCATTCCGCTTCCATCACTTCAGAGGCGAGCCGGCGGATTTTCTGGGCTGTTTAAACTTACTGGCTAGGTTTGGAAAGCCGTCCGTTTGGAAATAAATCACAGCATCGTATTTCCTCGGAAGTGTTTTGTTCCTGTACCGGGCCTGTCATCACTGAAGGTAGGATCAATGGAAGCCACTTTGGAACAAGCAAACCGTTATTAGATGTGTCAGAAAGGCGAGGCTTGTGCATCCTAGCCGTATTGCGCTGATTATAAGGATTTAAACTAGGGAACATTTTTCAGATATCAGATGAAAGATACATAGGTAAATCCCCTGAAGCGACTGTCTAATGCGTCCCTCAGCTGTATAAATCTACAGTTATTCCAGCACCGAGGTGATGGCCAGTGCCTCCCATCTGCAGCCTGCTAGCATACCGGCTAACCAGCTCATATTATGTTAATTAAAGGTTTGCTTTTTTAACAGAAAAATAGCGGAATATTAACCGCGTGGTAACGGGCATTGTTTTGCATATGTATGGTGTATTGTAATAATAACTGCGGTCTGTAGACACCTTCCATCTTCATTGTCGGAGCGCCTCCCGTCTTTAATGTCCCGTTATCCTTTGTCTGCAATTACTATTGTGCACGATTTTATATTTAAATGATAGGTTGAAAGGGCTTTTAGGATCTGTACGTTTATAAGAAGTAAATATGAAAGTTTTGTAATAAGATACAACTTTGGACTTCATGACATTGAGATATTTTGTCGGTTCTTGTTGCTGGATGAAACCCAGTGTTAGACAATTAAATATAAAATAATTTTTGGCCTGGAATCGATTTTCGTAGTTTTTTCCCCCCTTTATGAGGATACATGGTTTTCGAAAAATAAATAAATAAATACATAAGGAATAAATAAAACGTAGCACTGCTTGTCATTAAATTTATGTCAAATAGCCTATTCCAGTTGCAGGCTGCGAGTTGGAGGTGGTTTGGGTTTTTGTGGAAGGTGTGTCAGATCCCCATTGAATTAGCTTCAAACCCCAAAAGCTATCGAACAGAAGGTTGATGAATTGTATGTATTTCAACATGACATTCAGAGATTTCATTATTTCGAAAAATATTTGCAAATCAAAACACATAATTTCACTTGTTGCCAAATAGACACTAAGGTTCTTTCACACGATAAGGATAACTATAGGCCTAATGATAACTATAATGCTTTAATTAATGTTCTAATTCTGTGAGAATATAGTCCACATTGCAGCTAATGATAGTGACACTAAGAAACGATATGGAGTGTTTTTTTCCCAACTGATGATCAATTAAAAAAAAAAAAAACTGCCAACCAATCATATCAGAATCCACTGACTTTAAAGAGAACAATTAATGCAACACATAACAAAATGCAGTGGGGCATTTTTATATAGGCTATTGTGTGTTGGTGTGGCTTGCATATGTGTTTTTCACTGCATTTCGGGGAGTGTGACCATAAACTGAATGTAAACAGTGTATTGTAGTGTAGTAACATTCTGCAATCTTCAAACTCAAAAGTAAAGTTTTCTCAAATGTCATCAGTGGGATTCAATGGGTTTGTGTATTGCAAGTTGCATAATACAAATCCTAAACAGACATGTCATTTCTTAGGTGAATTTCTTATAATGATATGGGTTTGTAAGAGTACTTGTGAGCACTAGATTCCCCTCAGTCAGCGTGTAACAACAAAACATTTTAATGCACACTGTCCCTCACAGTCAACAGCACATTTTAACACCCTGTTTATACCACTAGTTAAGCCACAAACTGGAATGTTCCCATTCTAATCAATGAAGCTGACTGTTTGGGTGGCTTCCTTGATCATAATAGCAATGTTTTATTTGCTCACTCTCAGTGTAGAGGCTTCCATGCCGTACAGAGTTGTAACAGTAGCCGTAAGCAGAAACCAAATGGGTGTGAAAGGGCAACAGTGAGGCTCTATTTAGAAGTCATGCATTTGATTGACAGGGAGGTGTGCAACACTATTACAGCCTCCACAATCATGTCAGAGCTTTTCTCAGCACTGTAAGTCAAACAGTGCTTTTAAAGGGTCACATGCTTTCGGTTTTCATGTAATATGAGACTGATATTCTATATGCACAGTATTTATTATGTTTCATATACAGTAGACTGATAGCAACAATTTCTTGCATTCACTCAAAAGCAAATAAGTTGTAATTCTTTATCTGCTGTTATGATACTCAAATGGACTGGCATTGCACATAAATAATGTGCTTTATAGTGAGTACCAGGAGAGCAGATTTGCCCTGTGTCAGCTCTTTGGGACGCCCTGTGTGCGTGATCTCAGCGAATCTGGTCGCTATGGTGTCTCCAGGCTGAGGCGAGGGGCTCTGTTTCCTAAGACAAACAAGCAGTAATAAAGCACCCACTCTCTAGACAGAGAGACTTTCCGATGTGAAGGCACGCTCACTGCACTGAATGACAGGACAAATCCTACCATGCATTGTTCAGACTGTCGATACTAATGTGTGCAAGCATTTATACAGCGCTCGTCGTCTTGCGAAACCACACTTGAAAGTGACTTGTTGGTCTGTCTGTCTGTATGTGCATCCATCCATTTATCTGCAGTATGTGTATGAATGTGAAAACATTTTCTTGAAACATGTGCTTGTGCCACATTTATTTAATGCAAAACATTTGACAGTTTTTATTATTTTATTTTTATTTTAAATGAATAAAGCAATACATATGCTGTTCAAAATTAAGACAAAACATATGAGAGTTATCTTGATACTATTTGATGAGTAACTGTGTTACTGCAGTTGAGTAAAATTAGTAAAATATAAAGGTGTGATAAAATCTTGTGTGATCTCTCTTCAAAACAGTAATTTATA